ACACACACACACACACACACACACACACACACACACACACACACACACACATATACACATACACACACACACACAAACCAAGTCGTAGCATTAGTTGCTGCGTTCACAAATTTTAATTAGTTTTAGTAAGATTTATGGCACCTGCAACACACAGAGGTCATGTAAGTGCTTAAGATTAAATATGTTACAAAAGAGTAAAATACATAAGAAAGAGATATAAGGACGAAAGAATTTTTTATTTTTTGGTGTTCCACGGAGCTCGCAACTTCATACGGTCATATGAGAGCGCGGGACACCTTTAACATTTTCAGTTGGTAGGAAATTTTGCATTTTGCCCGGGTGGCGGCCGAAACCTATTATCGATTTTGGACCACCAAGGGATCTTTAATGTGCGCAGCTTGCACATGGAACCTCCAAGATGTTTCGCCCTTGTCCGAGAAGGCCTTGACCTACCAGTGCCAGACATGGGCCCCGACCAAAAGTCTGAAACGTAAAATAACCACCTGCGAGATGAGATGTCTATGGAGAGCCGTCAACAAAACCAGATGGGACATGGTCAGAAACAACAAGATTAGATAAATGGGGGGAACAACACCTGTCCTCCACTACATCCGAAGGCAAACAATCAGGTGGTTAGGACATCTCACACTTATGGCACCTAACCAGCTTGCCAGTACAGCCTACTACAGGAAAGTGTCAGGGTACAAAGCAAGAGGAAGACAAAGAAAGACCTGGATCCAGGGTGTGAAGGATACCCTGAGAACATTCAATATCCCATCCAGCCAGGCCATCAAACTTGCTAGAGACAGGAAGCTCTTTCTCCCCTCGACGCCCTCGAGGTACAAGAGGACGGATAAAGTAAAGTAAGTAAAGTAAGTCCGAGAAGGCTAGGTGTAGATCGTTCCTACTATAAGATCAGGAGTGTGGCTGGAAGACAGCAGTAAGATTAGAAGGAGACAAGGAGTAGCAGTAGAAAGGCTGCAGAAAGAGTCAGGAGCCCAGAGGAGGGGGCAGGGGTGGGTGGGCAGAAATTGGAGACGACATAACAATGTAATAGAGTAGAAAAGGATATGCAAGTAGAAAATTTCAGAGAAAAATATTTTCCGTCGCTCTCCGGATTCGAACCTATTGAATAAGAGGCAAACATATTATCTTAACCTCTAAACCACGAGAGCCCCCGATAGATGTTTGATAGGAAAGAAGGACCAATGCTCAATCTGTGCCAGAACAACATAGGGGGAACTGCTTTTTCTTTCCTCATCCTTACTATCATCATTTTCCTCTACTTCTTTTGTATGTTTGTCACTCTCTTGTGAAGTGTTATTTCCAGGGTGCCTTG